AAGAGCTTATCTCTAACATAGCAGGAACTCCTACAACTCACTAACAACAACAACAACAAAATCTAATAACCCAATTTAAAAATGAGCTAAACACTTGAAAGCCATTTCTCCAAAAAAGATTACCAAGAGCCAACTGTATATAGAATATTCTCCACATCACTAATCATCAAAATGCAAATCAGGGGTATCTGGGTGGCTTCATTGGTTGAGCATCTGCCTCTTGAGGTTGGCTCAGCTCATGACCTCAGGGTCATGAGATTGAGCCCCAAGTCAGATTCTACGCTGGGTAGAGCCTGCTTGAGATTCTCCCCCTCTGCCCTTCCCTACCTGTTCTCTCTCTCGCTTTCTCTCTCTAAATAAATAAATAATTTTTTAAAATAATAAAATAAAATGCAAATCAAAACCGCAATGAGATCATCCCCTCACCCCTGTCTGGGTGGCTATCATCAGTTAAACAAAGGACCACGGCGTTGGCAAGGATGCAAAGAAGTTGGACCCCTTGTGCACTGTCAGTGGGAATGCAAGCTGGTGCAGCCACTGTGGAAAACAGCATGGAGGTTCCTCAAGGAATTAAAAAGAGAGCTGCCCTATGAGGATGTCAAAGAGATACTAGTACTCCCACGTTCACTGCAGCACTGTTCACTGCAGCACTGTTCACAACAGCCAACATGGGGAAACAATTTAGATATCCTTCAGCAGGTGAATGGATAAAGAAAATGTGGTCCGTACACACAGCGAAATACTATCCAGCCTTAAAAAAAGAAGTCTGCAACGGATGAACCTTGAAAGCATTGTACTAAGAGAAATAAGCCAGTAGCAGGAGAACGAGTAATGGCATGATTCCACTTACATGTGGTATCTAAAACAGTCATACTCACAGAATGGAAGAATGGATGACAATTGCCAGGGCCTGCAGGGAGGGGAAAATGAGGAGTTACTCGTCAGTAAGCATGAAGCTCCAGTTCAGCAAGAGGAGTTCCACAGATCTGCTGTTCAGCATTGTACCTATACTCAACAATATTATGTTGTCCACTTAAAATTTTCTTAAGAAGGTCTCTTCTCTTGTGTTCTTAACACACTAGTTTTTTTAAGTGTTGAGAATTTCCAAAGGGGACAGTGTTCATGAGACTATATAGGAGGTGAATTTTGCCAGCTGAGGGCTTCATCCCTGAGGAAGTACCATTGTCAATGAAGACATAAAGATGAGCAAAAGTGAGGGGTCCCTGGGTGGCTCAGTGGGTTAAGCCTCTGCCCTCAGCTCAGGTCATGATCTCAGGGTCCTGGGATCGAGTCCCGCATCAGGCTCTCTGCTTGGCAGGGATCCTGCTTCCCCTCTCTCTTTGCCTGCTTGTGATCTCGCACTCTCTCTGTCAAATAAATAAATAAAAATCTTAAAAAAAAAAAAAGTGAGCTAGGCATAGTAGGGGGGAAACCACTAATGCCCTCATCCTCCAAGCTCCTGTTCCCTCTCATCACCGGGCCTGTGAGAAAGCCAGGCCCCAGAATCCCAGGGACGGCTTCTAAGTACCTCACAGGCTGTTAGCCACAGCCAGCCCTGCCCCCAGGCTTGCTCCTCCCTCCTGGCCTGTCACACTCCATCAAGAAACAGCCAAAGGCATAGATTGCTGGAAGGTTCTATCAGCAGCCAGCCAGACCCAAGGCTCACAAACGTAGCCACTCTGCAGAGAAATGTGGGGTGTGGGGAGAGTCTGCTTTCCCTTTTTTTTTTTTTTTTTATTTTGGCCTACGTTGATTCTAATACTTTCAATAGTAAAGTACTTAATGCACAGATCGCTTCTGCTGACCTCCTCCCTTGGGTATGCAATGTCATTTTATCATGGGTAAGCAGATAGGTCTATTTTGTGAATTTGACAAACGGTGTTGAAGTGCCTTCATGGCTGCCAAATGCCTCTGCTCCAAGGTCCCAGTGACTGAATTTCTGCCAGAGGTGGAGGCAGCAGTGGGGGCAGCGGGCGTGTAAGGCCTGCGCGAAGACAGGCTTTAACCTTGGACAGCGTTCACTGGGTAGGCGGCTCCTTTATGAGACACCCATTGCAGTCACCGGCCATGAGCCTGGTTGTTGGATTTTGTTTCACAGCCACCACGTTTTAGCATTTCACTTATAAGTGGAGAAAAGCACCCTTTCTTGAAGCATAGCAAACACAGAGAAAAGTGTACCAATCCTGCATGTGTGGCTTGGTGATTTTTCACCAGGTGGATCCAGATCTAGCACCCAGGTCAAAGAAACGTCCCAGAGTCCCTCCGCTCCAGCCCCCCTCTTCTAGTTACTGCCCCCCAAGGGTGACCCCCAACCTGATTTCTAGCATCGTAGATTAGTTTTGGGTTTGGAACTTTACATAAATGAGAGCATGGTATGAATTTTTGCTTTTGTGGCTTTCTTGCCTCAATTGTATGCTTGTGAGACTCATCTGTGTTGCTTGTCATTACAGCTTCTTCACACTGTCCAGTGTTCTTATATGACGCTATCGCAATTTCATATTCACTCAACTGTTGATGGATATTTGGGTTGTTCTACACCTGGGCTATTCTCAGTAGCACTGCTTAGAATATTCTTATATATGTCTTTTGGTGAACATATGCATGTTTGGAAGGGGGGTGTGCTGTCTTCGTTGTCTATTTTTGCACAACAAATTTCCGCAAATCCTGGTAGCTCACAACAGAAATAAATGTGTTTTTTTTTTTTTTTTTTACTTCTCACCATTTAATGAGTGAAGAATCTGGTAACACCTTGGAAAGGCATTTCTGACTCAAGGTCTCTCATGAGGGCACAATCATCTGAAGGCTAGACTGGGTCCAGCGGATCGGCTTGCAAGGTAGCTCACTCATGAGACTGGCGAGTTGGTGCCCACTGTCAGAGGGCAGCCTTAGTTACTTTGCATGTGGACTTTCCTGAAGACTGACTGTGTATGCCCATGACCTGACAGTTTCCCCCAGAGTGAGCAAAGAGAGAGCCAAGTGGAAACGATATCCTTTTTATGATTTAGCGTTAGAGGTCACAGAGCCTTGCTTCTTCCTCATCTTATTCATTACAAGTGAGCCACCAAGTTCAGCCCAGACTCCAGGCCTCACCTTAGAAGGGGCAGGTGGCAGAGAATGCGTGGATATATTTTAAAACACAGCATTTTAAAGCTAGGCATTAACCCAAACTAGGGATCTAAAAATAAGTTTATAGGAATTCCCACAAGGATCTCAAAGAAATATATATCCAATCCAGCCTCTTCTATTCATTGAAAATTCTGTGAATGTTTATAGGACAGTTTTCTTGGAGACAGTGTAGCACAATAGAAAAGACAAAGGCTTTGGAACCAAATACACCCAAGTCCGAATCCCAGATTCACTAGTTACTAGTTACGGGTTTGGGGCAAATCAACCTCTTAGATTTTCAGGTTTCCTCAATTATAAAATGAGGGGAATCAATAAAGCCTATCTCATGTTATTCTAGAGGTAATTAAATGGGATAATGGGTGTAAAGTACTTACTGTGCAGGTAGGTCCCTTCCATTTGCTCATTTATCAGGAAATTATTAACCACGTGTATTAACTATGTAGAAGGGGCTATACTGAATATCGTGAGTGATACAAAGCAGATGCAGACACAGAGCTTGCCTGCAAGAGGTGTGTACTCCAGTGGGGCCCTTGACAGACAGAATAACTATAACATAATTGAGAAAATAATCAGTGTCTGGGGCAGGTACATATCCCCTAAGCAGGTACGCATCCTTTGAACATGGATCAAATTGGGATTCAAAATGGATTACATTTTGAAGGCTGGGCAAGGAAAGGACAAAAAGTATTCCAAATTCAGGGTAACAGCTTGAGGAAAAACAGAGCTGGAGAACCAGGGGGCATGAGTTGAGAATAATGAGATTGTTTGCTACACCTAGGACTCAAACACAGGATAGATGAAAGTAGATAGTGGAAATAGGGGTTAGTAAGTTAGTTATATATCAGAGTGGCAGAAAGAGATTGAGAGAGTATGTACTCAGTTTTGCAGTCTGATGAAAAACATTAAGGCCCAAGATTTTTAAGCCAATTTTCAAGGCTAGCTACAAAAGCCAAGAGGGCCCAGCTACTGAAGTATCTACTCGCCATGCTTTTCTTGGCTGACTTCTGTTCGTAGAAATTTTGTGCCTCATATTGTAAATAGAACTTTCCAAATGTGATCATTAAAGAACACTTCCTACTCCAAGCCCAAAAAACTGGGCTTTTTCCTTATCATTCTCATTTTGGAGGCTGCATCAACAGGGAAATGGAGTGGGATTGTTTTTATAGGTCTTCAGCTCACTGTAAATGTGCTTCTCAAGACTTGGCTGTTTGGAATGGCCAATTATGCACTCAGCTCCTCTGTGTGTATTTGACTTCTCCTTCCAGATAATGAGCCATTCTCTCCACTTACTTCCCCTCAAGAAGACTGATCTCTTTAGCAACCTTTACTTTTGTTACATTCTCCAGTCCTGGGCAGTGATGATATTCATACATAAGACAGAGACATTTCTATGCTATGTTGGAAGTTTGAAGGAAGTGGGAGCCAATGACCTTTCACTTTGAAGCCAAAGAAAAACAAGCACAAATTCTTCCGTCTTGTTAAGAATGGGGACCAGACAGATTAGCAGAAAGGCTGTTCCATACACAGTGCCCAAAGACTTTCTGCACTCAAACCTGTGTTATTTCTAGCATACCACTTTATTTTGATGAAGTTTGTATATTTCACCCAAATAGACATGGTTGCAACCATTCTTGGTGATTTCGTGGGTAGAAATGGATGTTCCATTTTATCACCCTCTTTGTTTATTCAAAATGGATTCTAGAGCCTGTAGGAGTGGATGTGTTCTAGGCTTGGGATAGAATTCCTCACCAATCTTGTGCTGGAATTTCCCACCTTCCCAGGTATGTATTTTTACTCAATTGGCAACACTTGATGTCACAATGTTCTCTGCATGGGTCCTAAGGATGTCCTCGTCCTCTGTGGTTTCTTCCCAGGTGGGAAATTGGCAAGTGGAGTCCATGCAGTCTCACCTGTGGGGTTGGCCTGCAGACCAGAGATGTCTTCTGCTCCCACCTGCTTTCCAGAGAGATGAATGAAACCGTAATCCTGGCTGATGAACTGTGTCGTCAGCCCAAGCCCAGCACGGTACAAGCTTGTAACCGCTTCAACTGCCCCCCGGCCTGGTACCCTACACAGTGGCAGCCGGTGAGTTCTGGAGTTACCTGATAGTGGAGTTTGTGTATACAACTCTGATTCAGGGCAAGGGACGCTGTCTTCAAGGAGCTCTGTCCCATTAAAGGAATGTTCAAAGTCTGTTCCTCCCTCCCTTCTTAGTACTCTCTCAACCTTATTCAAATCCAGATATTTTCACTATAAATACTGTGCTCTGTCTATGGTTTCACACCAGTGGAACCAAAAGCAATTCAAGACCCATCTGTTAAACTGAGTATATTCACAACAAAGTTTTTACCAAACTAAGAAAACATTTTTTAAAAAATAAGGACAGTGTGGTTGGTTTTCCACAAAGCTGAATTGGTTCTGAATTTGTGCCCTCTCTAGTTTTTTGCTGTTTTAAAATTCCAAGAGGCCAGGGAATTAGGCAATGACTTTTCTTTTTTTTTTTCTTTTAAATAGAATTATTTACCAAAATAACAGATTAGAAGTCAAATCAATTCCAGAATTTTTAAAATTTTCCTGGTCCTATGAATTCCAAAAGTCTAGAGAGTATTGTTTTTTATCATTTTTTTAAAGATTTTTATTTATTTGACAGACAGATCACAAGTAGGCAGAAAGGCAGGCAGAGAGAGAGAGGAGGAGGAGGCAGGCTCCCCGCCGAGCAGAGAGCCCGATGTGAGGCTCGATCCCAGGACCCTGGGATCATGACCCGAGCCGAAGGCAGAGGCTTTAACCACTGAGCCACCCAGGCGCCCCTAGAGAGTATTGTTTTAAAGCAGGAGTTGACAGACTTTAGCCCAAAACCAGATCCATCTCATAAGAAGTTACTGTAAATGAATTTTTATTTGAACCAAGCCATGCCCATTCTTTTATGTATTGTCTGTGACTGCTTTGGCACTGGAGAGGCAGAACAACATGGTTGTGACAGAGACCATTTAGTCTACAATACCTAAGATATTTACTCTGTCCTTTCACAGAAAAATTTTGCTGACCCACCCCCAAAAGCATGCATAGTAATAATACAAACACAACTATTTTACCATAACATTCTATCTAAAATCAATGTGTGTTTGTCAAGCTTCAGTTAAGTAATTTTTTGCATGCCTTTAAAAAACATAAGTTTTAGATTATTTGGCTAGAACCTTATTTTGCATTTGTTCTTTATGAGGATGTCAGAGGTACCCATACGGTGGTAATAATGGTCACAAAAAGTAAGCCTGGAAGGTGAGGGGGGCATGCATCCCAATTTATCCTAGTTTTACTAAAATGGTTTTTCACTTTTGAGATTATCCAAGTTGGGGTTCCGGGGTGGCTCAGTCGGTTGGGCGCCCGACTCTTGGTTTTAGCTTAGGTCATGATGTCATGGGTCATGGGATCAAGCCCCCCTATCTAGCCCTGAAGCTCCACGCTCAGCAAAGAGTCTGCTCAAATATTCTCTCCCTCTGCCCCTGCCCCCACTCACTCTTGTCCTCTCTTTCTCTAAAAGTATATAAATCTTTAAAAAATTTTTAAGCATCTCAACTAAAATGATAAATTACATGGTTATCCAACTGAGGAGAGAGCATAGCAGCTTACACAGCCTTGCCTTAGTGCTGAGAGGGGGCTGCCATTTCTAGACCGCCATGCATCAGAGGATGCTTTTCCACTATCACTTGGCAGAGACCCTTCCGTCTCTCTGCCCATCTTGGGACTATGATTTAGTAAAGCGCTCAATGAATCAAAGAGTAATCAGTGAGCAAAACTCTAAAATATAAAGCATCTGGAAAGAGATATTGACTATTTCCTTTTAGAGCTTAAATATATATGGAGCTAAACTCATAAATACCATGTTACTATGTGATGGTTTGTGGAAATCAAGAGGATGTTATATATTTTGAATGCCTATGTACCAGTGTTCCGTTTGGAAATATTATTGCAGGGGCGCCTGGGTGGCTCAGTGGGTTAAGCCGCTGCCTTCGGCTCAGGTTGTGATCTCGGGGTCCTGGGATCGAGTCCCGCATCGGGCTCTCTGCTCGGCAGGAAGCCTGCTTCCCTCTCTCTCTCTGCCTGCCTCTCCGTCTACTTGTGATCTCTCTCTGTCAAATAAATAAATAACATCTTTAAAAAAAAAAGATTATAGAAATATTATTGCATACCTAACTAAAGTTAATCCTCTCAACGACCAGTGAAAGTAGGTTTTATTGTCTTCATTTTAGGTTTAAGGGAACTGAGGCTCATACAGGTAGCAAATTCAGGGTTGGCCATCAACCCAGTTTTATGCAATTCTTTCCCCTATACCTCATTGTTGGAGACTACTATGGCTGAAAGAGCCATCAGGGATTATGTATGAGTCCCCTTGTTCTACACATGATGTAACTGCAGCCTCGATATGGCCTTGCCAAGATCATAAAGCCTGGTTGAGACCCCAGGTCTCCTGGTTCTAGTATTTTTATACTGTTAGCTTTAACTAGAATGAATCCCTGACCTCAAACTGCACCACTAACTAATGCCAATGCTAAGACAAGACCGGAATCGATCTCTACTGCTGTATTAAGTCTACTAGGTCCATAGTAAGTTCTGGATAAAATGTTTATTGAATGACAAAATGAATGACTAGATAAAGAATACTGGCCCACAAGCCCTGAAAATTCTGACTTTATATGTTCTATAATATGTCTTATGGTTTTGGGTTCTAATATTGACCTAGCAGTGAATCTCAATGAAACACCAACCTCTTTTATTTTTTAGGATTTCATTCATTCATTCATGAGAGAGAGAGAAAGAGAGAGAGAGAACATGCAAGAGCAGGGAGAGGAGCACAGGAGGAGAGAGAGAGAGGATCTGAAGCAGACTCTCCACTGAGCACAGAGCCTGATGATGCAGGGCTCAACATCACAATCACGAGATCGTGACGTGAGCCAAAACCAAGAGTGGGATGCTTAACCAATTGAGCCACCAGGGTGCCCCCCCACAACCTCTTTTTAATAGCCATATGTGCTGCTGAATAATGGCAGTGACCTATGACTTTTTTTTCCTTCACTTTTTAGAACACATCCCTATACATGATTTCTTTGGGTCCTATTGCCACCACCACTACTGCCATGCCCAGTATCCGCATTTAATACAGTGGATTTCCAAAAAGTCCATTATTCTTCCATTTTCCGCTTCTTAGGCCTGTTAAGACACAAATTTTTTTGAAAACTTTTCTACTTCCTTCTATTAGGGAGAGGCCCTTTGGGGTTGAGTCAGATTTAAGTCCATTTTTCAGATCAGGAAACTAATAGAAAACAGCCCTTTGAAGTCCATCCAGTGAGCTACTAACTACACTTTATTAAGATCTTTCAAAAGTATCTTCTTTACACGTAATACATAGTAATTGTGAAATATATTCTAACATAACAAGAAATAAGGAACATAGAAAGTGAAAGTCACCAGTGATTCTGTCCTCTAGAGAAATCCCCTGTAGGCATGTAGTGTATAGGATCTGTTTTTAAGAGTCCTTGGTCATTTTTAGGAATCTTTCTAAACCTAGAAGAAACAACAGACTATTCTTACATGAATTCCAGAATACTACTTCTTTAGTTAAGCTTTGTTAGATAAAATCAGCTAACATTGACCACTTGGTAAAGGAAAGGAAGTCCTTGTTTATGCCATATGGTGAATAAGTCAGGAGTAACCTGGGGGCTCCAAGGTGTTTGGCTGTTGTCTTAGGACCCCCCCCTTAAGTAAAAGACACCAGCTGTTGACCTTCCATTTGCCTGATTAGCCCTCTGGTTCCTTGGTAGTCCTTCTTAGAACAAGGGAACCTGTTGTGCATTCATAATGCTCTTTTCTATTTGGATTTACTAGAGGATAGTGCTGAGGTCTCTAATCCTTCCACACCCGCCTTAAGTCTTTCTTTATATGAAAGAAAAACAGATGTAGTGTCAACTTTCATTCAAAGGATGACATAATAACATGATGAACATTAGCTTTTGAGGGGAGAAACTCCTTCTTGCTCTTTGAACACTGGGCTACCATTGACTTCATGTGTATACTTTTCTTCCTGGGAAAAAAAAAAAAGCACAAATTCCATGAATTGTCATTTTCCAGGAAAAAAGTGCAATGTCCTTTGTCTTTTGTAGAGCATTTGCCTGACAACTGGCAAGTGGCCAATAGTCACCCATTCTGCAGGTCTGGAGAGGACTAGCATGCAGTCCAGGTACCTATGTTAAAATTTTATTTTAAGAAACAAGTAGAAGGGAAACAAAAATCTAATTCTAGCTTTGGCTTAGGGGGCCTTCTTTATTTCAGTTCAGCGACTTAATACTGCATCCCTTATTTTTTTTCCTCTGGCTTTGTGTAAACGACTCATTTATCTTTATCAATTTCGCTTTAATACCCTGTTGGTCTGTGTTTAGTTTTGAAACACATATTTAGTGCATAGGTGTCCTGAATCTTCTCTAACTTATTAAATACACCCATCATCATCATCATCGTCGTCGTCGTCGTCTTTGGTGTTGGCTATGTGTTGCTTTATATACACCACACAAGGGATCATATCCTGATGGTGTGTTACAGCACCATGATTGAGAACCACTGTGATGCACACCATAAGTCCATCTGAGACACTTTGATCATGACGATATTCTGCTAGGGAATTTTTCAGTTACATTCCATTTGCCATATAGTAAAGCCAGATGCCTTAGTCAAGACCTCCATCCCTCGGCGCATCTGCTCCTGCCCATCTCCCACCATGCTTCTCCCACCCTTGCTTGTACATTCCTGTTTGCCCATGCTTCCCCTGCCCACAGGCAGTTCCCCTCCCCTCTGCTTGTCCAACTGGGTGGGAGTCCCACCTCCTCTACCAGGGCTCCTCCGCCCTTCTCCTGCACGGAAGTGACATGATGTTCATGGTCAGTGCTGCTCATTGACCAGTCACATACTACCTTACCTGGATGGGCACTTTCTTGTGACTTCTGAGTTAGACCATAAGGTTGATGGGACAGAGACCAAGTGTCAGCATAGAGCTTAGCACTGGAAAGTTCCATGGCAAGACTGCAGTCTATTTG